GTAGCTGCAGTTGGGACCATGTTGCCTGTGGGGGCCGGCAACTCAGCAGGCTCTGCTGGGGCAGCAAGAGGTGTGTACCTGTTGCTTAGTTCTGGTCAGGTAGGGGCCTTGGTGCGGCGGGCCTTAGGGCCCTTGCCCACCGTGGTCCATGCCCCTGGCTGGACACAGCAGGAGGTCCCAAAGTCCTCCTTTGGCGTGGAGGGGGACTGTGGTCTACCCTCTGCCTCCCGGGGGAGAAGGGCCTGGCAGTAGGAGTCTATCTCCTGCTCGCGGTCCCTGATGGCACGCAGTCTCTGGACTGTGGCCTGGAGCTCCTCCAGCTGGTGCGCCAGAGACCCCAAAAGGGAGCAGACCCCACAAGGCGAGGTCACCATGCTCCCAGGCCCCTAGTAAAAGAGAACCAGCACAAAACTCTTCACTAAAAATGCAGCTGTGTCTGTTCTTACTGGGAACCAGTCCATTTTTATAAGAGTCTCTGCAGTGAGCAGGAGATCTTCCAGGAATCCATTTTGCTGTCTTGAGTGGTGAGAGGGAACAGTCACTTGGCAACTCATCTGGGAGCATGGGACAGCAGGTGGCCCCAGTGGATGCACTATTCAAAATAATCTGGTTTCCCATAGCTAGTGGGAGGCAGAGAGTGGGATCCACAGACACATACTCAGATGGCAGACACAACACCACTAGAGTATGCAGTAGACATATACGTCACTTACATCAGCATAAGCAGTAATCTAACAAATGAGTATACAAGCTGTATGCTATGAATAGGACCCAGTTCAGACAGGAGAATAAATGCTATTGTATTGATGGCTGATTAACAGGGCCTGATGCTCCTTTCTCTGAAACCAATAGGAAAACTCCAGTTATTTTCAAGGCAAGTAGAAGTGAACTCAGTGTTGTTTTATAAAGGGGTAGATGTCAATATTTAGCCAGCTAACAATCAGATTTTGCTGATAAATAGACATTCTAAAGCTGGTAATTTTTCCTGTGTTTTGCCTATGAAATCTGAGACCAAGCTGAATGCCCTTTAAATATTTGGCCCATAAAGTTTTCAAGTGACTAAACATACCAATTTTCAGGTCACAGAAAAGTAGCTGTGTTGCTCTGGATCTGCAGTTAAATTTAATTTTAGCATCTATCTCAGTTTCCTCAGCTACCAATAGCTAATTCATTTCAATGAAAAGAGGCATTATGTAAATCATTGCTAATGACCATTTCCTGTTACTAATGAGCTGGAAGCCCATTGTATGCTGAATGATATAAATGGACCTACCTTAGCATTTGAAGTGGCCTTAATTGTCCATATGCAGTCAACTGCTTGGCCAGGTTTTGTTTTTTCTTCTTGTTCTACTTGACTGGAACGTACTATTCCATCAGCTCCTGAGAGCTCGAATTGGCAGTCTAGAGAGAATATACAACTTGCCGTCAAATGCAATGCAAGACCGATTCAGAATTTCATGTACAAAGAAATTGGAACTGTAATACTACACCTGGAATGGGATTTAAAATACCTCCTAGGTAAGTGAAGTCTGGATCTGTAATGGGGGGGAAAAAAAAATAAAAATAAATCCCTGGTGCTTGTACAGTTTGAATCATTTCAAAGTTATAATCTAGACACAATGTTTTCAGTTTTTTATCCCCATGTTATTTTGCAAACTGATCTAAAATCACTGGTGAATTTGTGCACCTGTGCTGTTTTGCACTAAAACTTGCAGGGCTTTGCAAAGGTGTTGTCTATGTATGTTAGATTTCAAGATCAAAGGCTGCATGGCTAACTATATACAATTTAATTAGGAAGAAGCTTACAAGTGCAATGGGATCCCAGGGTGTGGCAACTAATGCCTAATGGAGCCATCATATCTAGCCTGCAGAGCTGGAGGGCTTTGGAGATGGGGAGCTTCACCTGTGTCATGCCACACTGTGGCCATGTGGCAGGGAAAAGCAGAGACCAGGTCCTAACACAGGCCTGTTCTGGTCCCAACCTGGGTCATTCTAACCCACTGCAGGAAAA